AAGGTCTCTAAAAAAATATTTTTATAACATCCTCGCCTATTATAGGCCTTTAAAAAAATATTATTTAAAAAATCCACGCCTATTGTTGGTCCATATAGGACCGGAAAAAATATTTTTATAATATCCTCGCCTATTATAGGCCTCTAAAAAAATATTTTTAAAAAATTTACGCCTATTGTAGGTCCATATAGGCCCCGAAAAAAATATTTTTATAACATCCTCGCCTATTATAGGCCTCTAAAAAATATTTTTATAACATCCTCGCCTATTACAGGCCCCTAAAAATATTTTTATAACATCCTCGCCTATTATAGGCCTCTAAAAAAATATGTTTATAACATCCTCGCCTATTATAGACCTTTAAAAAATATTTTTATAACATCCTTGCCTATTATAGGCCTCTAAAAAAATATTTTTATAACATCCCCGCCTATTATAGGCCTTTAAAAAAATATTTTTAAAAAATCCACGCCTATTGTTGCTCCATATAGGCCCCGAAAAAAATATTTTTATAACATCCTCGCCTATTATAGGCCTTTAAAAAAATATTTTTAAAAAATTCACGCCTATTGTTGGTCCATATAGGACCGGAAAAAATATTTTTATAACATCCTCGCCTATTATAGGCATCTAAAAAATATTTTTATAACATCCTCGCCTATTATAGGCATCTAAAAAAATATTTTTAAAAAATCCACGCCTATTGTTGGTCCATATAGGCCCCGAAAAAATATTTTTATAACATCCTCGCCTATTATAGGCTTCTAAAAAAATATTTTTAAAAAATTTACGCCTATTGTTGGTCCATATAGGCCCCGAGTATGAGCCTTGAATTATTTTTCATTTGAACCCTTGTATTTTCTCTTCTAATAATTCCCAAATCCCCCTCGTACTGAAAACCTGTCAGTCAAGCATAACATATTTAGCCGGCATACATATCAGCTTTCTTCGGCATTTAATCAAATACTGCATTCCCTCACACCTTGGCTGGCACAACATTCACAGCCGAATAGATTAGGGGAGAACATAGCTCTCACTTAAGCCAAGTTAATACTGGTAATTAAGTCATATGTCATTAAATAGTTGTTAACTTGATAATTTACACTTATTTTCACTTCTTCTCCATAGAAGATAAACACACCATGAAATTCTAAAATACCACTACTTTGGACTCACCTGTAATAAAGTTGATTCTTTCTCGCCAACATTGTCTTAAATATCACATTTTCATAGAGATGAGACAAAAAAGTTTTAACCCGTTGACCAAAATCCAGCGGCTGTTTAAGACCCACAAATAAACTGGGAACATAGGCGGCCTCAATGGGATTACCCACCATGGCGTTGGTGGTAAAAACACTTTGGACCATAAACGATAAAACAATGGGACATTGGAAGTGAGCACCCAAACCAAAAATACTATCACTCATGGCATAGCCCAGTACCACCAAATCGAAATCGCCAGCCTTGTGTTCTTGTAGGAATTTTTTCATCAATGGATTATTGAGGGTGCCGTTGGCCATATCGCCTACCAAACCGAAATGATGAGCCAATTTCACATAAACCGGTGAAGTTTTGTTCACCATTTTCCTGGCAAACTCCTCATCGAACATGGGTTCCTTGAGGTAAATATATTCCACGAGTTGAAGATTTTTATAGGGATTTGGTGCAGTGGCAATCACAGTGACATCATGGCCATCACGAGCCAAGGTCTCAGCCACTGAGAAATGTATGAACAAATGCGACAACGATGGTGCCGGGAAGAAACACAAAATCCGAGCACTTTCATTTGGAATGACAGCTAAGGTGCAAAGCACAAACACTATGGAAAGAAAACTTCCCGTTCTGTTCATTGTTTCGATCTAGGGTGTGAGCGAACGCGTTGGGTTCTAAATTAACACTAATTAAAATTTGTGTAGATTAAATTAATGGACTTCCAAAAGAATCGATGAACGACTTAATAACAAAAGAAAACAAAACCTGTTATCAGCTGCTTTCCAGAACTATTATCGTAACCTACACCAATATACATCTCGCAAATAAAAACAAGTTTTTTATTTGTCGGGTCTAATCTTTAGATAAGGGGTGATTTTTTCGAGTGGTCAAGAGTACTTTGGGATTTTTTTTGGAAAAAATATATTTATAAAATCCACGCCTATTATAGGCATGAGGATATGCATAGAATCACTTTTTGAGTCGATTTATGCATGTTCGTCCGTCCGTCTGTCCATGTTAAATTGTAAACATAGTACAGGTCGCATTTTTGATTCGAATTGTATGAAATTTTGTACCGCTCATTTACTTGGCACAAGGACGAACCCTATTGAAATTGGGAAAAATTGGTTCAGATTTAGATATAGCTCCCATATATATTTTCGTCCGATTTTAGGTAAATAGTGCACCAAGGTCACTATATATACTTCGATTTGCACGAAATTTGGCATAGCGTACTAAATTAAGTCTAGGAGGATGTGTGTTAAATCTCGTGAAAATCGGTTAAGATTTAGATATAGCTCCCATATATATGTTCGGCCGATTTAATATAAATAGTGCACCAAAGTCCCTATATATCCTTCGATTTGCACGAAATTCGGCATAACGTACTGAAATACGTCTAGAACGATATGTGTTAAATTTCGTGAAAATCGGTTCTGATTTAGATATAGCTCCCATATATATTTTAGGTAAATAGTGCGATTTTAGGTAAATAGTGCACCAAAGTTCCTATATATCCTTCGATTTGCACGAAATTTGGCATAGTGTACTAAATTAAATCTAAAAGGATATGTGTTAAATTTCGTGAAAATCGGTTCAAATTTAAATATAGCTCCCATATATATGTTCGACCGATTTAATGTAAATTGTGCACCAATGACCCTATATATCTTCCGATTTGCACGAAATTCGGCATAGGGTCCTGAAATACATCTAAAACTATATGTGTTAAATTTCGTGAAAATCGGTTCAGATTCAGATATAGCTCCCATATATATTTTTGTCCGATTTTTGGTAAATAGTGCACCAAAGTCCCTATATAAAATCCACGCCTATTATAGGCCTCGAAAAAAATATTTTTATTAAATCCACGCCTATTATAGGCCTCGAAAAAAATATTTTTATTAAATCCACGTCTATTATAGGCCTCGAAAAAAATATTTTTATTAAATCCACGTCTATTATAGGCCTCGAAAAAAATATTTTTATTAAATCCACGCCTATTATAGGCCTCGAAAAAAATATTTTTATTAAATCCACGCCTTTTATAGGCCTCTAAAAAAAAATTTTATTAAATCCACGCCTATTATAGGCCTCGAAAAAAATATTTTTATTAAATCCACGCCTATTATAGGCCTCGAAAAAACATTTTTATTAAATCCAGGCCTATTATAGGCCTCGAAAAAAATATTTTTATTAAATCCACGCCTATTATAGGCCGCAAAAAAATGTTCTTCAAAAAATCCACGCCTATTATAGGCCGCAAAAAAATACTCTAAAAAAAATCCACGCCTATTATAGGCCTCGAAAAAAATATTTTTATTAAATCCACGCCTATTGTAGGCCTCGAAAAAATATTTTTAATAAATCCACGCCTATTATAGGCCTCGAAAAAATTATTTTTATTAAATCCACGCCTATTATAGGCCTCGAAAAATTTTTTTTATTAAATCCACGACTATTATAGGTCTCGGAAAAAAATAATCTTGAAAAAATCTAATTTTCATAGCCCATGTGTTTTTTTTTTAATTTCTTACTCACCTGTACATTTCCTCTTGCATGCGACCCATTACAGCAGCAAACACTCGATATTCAAAAATAATAGAAACAAAATTCTTAACCCTGTTCCAGAAATCCATTGGTTGCTTAAAGCCCATAAACAGTGTGGGAACATAGGCCGACTCAGCCGGATTACCAATCAGTGTGTTAATCGAAAATATTGGCTGGACCATAAAGGAGATAATTATCGGACACTGGAAATGGGCACCCAAGCCCAACATGAAATCATTCATAAAATAACCCAAAACCAAGGCATCAAAATCTCCCGGCTTATGGGTTTGCAAAAATTCCAACATCTTGGGATTGTTCATTGTGGCATTGGCCATAGTCATAACTTGGCTAACAGTACTGACAAATTTCTTATAGACATGAGCCGGTTTGTTCAACATCTCCTTGGCAAAGGCATCATTGAACATCGGACCCTCAATGTGGATGTAATTGACATGAGGTGCCTTAATTTTAGTTGGCGGTACTGTAGCGATCACGGTTACATTGTGACCATTCAGGGCCAATGTCTCTGCCACCTCGGCATGTATCAACAAGTGGGACAGCGAGGGCGAGGGGAAGACACACAAGATACGACTGGCTTGACATGGTGCAAACACCAAACTCACAATAGCTAGCGAAAGCCAAGTGCGCAATTGGTGCGCAGGGGCATTCATTGTTGCGGAACGGAGGAGAGAATCGAGAAACTATCGAATAGCTGCTGTCCGCTGCGGAAAGACTACCGATTGCTAATTGTAGCCGATTCTTATAACTAAATGTAAAACGCATCGGAATAGTTTGTTTTTGTAATGTTATCTGGTTTGAGTCCATAGTTTGCTGTATACTAAGTATTTATTGATAAGCTAGCAAATGAGCGGATGGGAGAAAGAGTAATTTTCTACTCAATCAGAAAAATTTCTTTAATTAGGGGTATTCAGGAAATCGATGAAGAAAAAATTTGATAGAAATTTGAAAAAAATATTTTTTTTTAAAAATCAACGCCTTTTGCAGACCCTTGAAAAGGGTCCATTGTTGAACTATGAACACACCTATGTAAAGGCTTTCCGAAAATATTTCAAAAACCTCCACATCTATGTAGAGGTATTTTTAAAAAAATCCGCGCCTATTGTTGAACTATGAACACACCTATGTAAAGGTTTTCCGAAAATATTTCAAAAACCTCCACGTCAATGTAAAGGTCGCGGAATTTGTTATTAACACTGAAATACTCAATACTAGGGAACTTACCTATACATTTCATTGCCCTTCTGAGCCACATAAGCCGAATAAATCTGATGTTCAAAGAATGAGGCTGCGAAATTTTTCACTCTCGTCCAAAAATCCATAGGTTGCTTATAACCCATAAACAAACTCGGGACATATGAAGACTCCGGCGGATTGGCAACCATTGCACTAACCGAAAATATTGGCTGGACCATAAATGAGACAATTATCGGACACTGGAAATGGGCACCCAAACCCAACATAAAATCATTCATAAAATAACCCAATATCAAGGCATCAAAATCTCCCGGCTTATAGCTACGCAAAAATTCCAACATCTTTGGGTCATTCATGGTCACATTTGCCATATCTTGAACCTTCGATATGGTACCGGCAAATTTCGTATAAATATTAACCTGCTTACTGAGCATTTCATTGGCAAAGTCATCATTGAACATGGGACCCTCAATGTGGATGTATTGGACATGTGGTGCTCGAAGTTTACTTGCCGGTACTGTACCAATCACGGTAACATTGTGGCCATCTTGAGCCAATGTTTCAGCAATGGTGGCATGGATTATCAAATGCGACAAAGAGGGTGAGGGAAATACACATAAGATACGGCTGGCCTGGCACGATGTAAGCGATAAGACCATGAGTGGAATCAATGTCCAGACACAAAGTGACCTGGGGGTAGTCATTATTATTTGTTTTCGATTTTTTTTGCTTATCCGTAACCCGAACTATTTTTTTTTACGTATGTTGACAGTTTGTCCAACGCGCGTAAACTAACGTGCCTCCTATTTTGGGCAATCTCTTATATGTCATTGTAAAATACATGAAAAAATTAATATTTTGGGGAAGCTAGAATAAATAGAGATTAGGTACAAGTGAGTGCAACGTGTACATAATCAAATTTTTATTAGGGGTATTCACTAAACAGAGATTCATGAAAAATATTCTTAAAATCCTATAAAAAAAAGAAAAAAAGAACATTGAAAAAAAAATAATTTTAAAATAAATCCAGGCCTATTATAGGCCTTGAAAAAATAATTTTAAAATAAATCCAGGCCTATCCAGGCCTAAATTTAAAATAAATCCAGGCCTACCCAGGCCTTGAAAAAATAATTTTGGAATAAATCCAGGCCTATCCAGGCCTATTATAGGCCTTGAAAAAATAATTTTGAAATAAATCCAGGCCTATTATAGGCCTTGAAAAAATAATTTTAAAATAAATCCAGGCCTATTATAGGCCTTGAAAAATAATTTTGAAATAAATCCACGCCTATCCAGGCCTATTATAGACCTTCAAAAAATATTTAAAATAAATCCACGCCTACCCAGGCCTATTATAGGCCTTGAAAAAATAATTTTAAAATAAATCCACGCCTATCCAGGCCTATTATAGCCCTTCAAAATATATTTAAAATAAATCCACGCCTATCCAGGCCTATTATAGACCTTCAAAAAATATTTAAAATAAATCCACGCCTATCCAGGCCTTGAAAAAATAATTTTAAAATAAATCCACGCCTATCCAGGCCTATTATAGACCTTCAAAAAATATTTAAAATAAATCCACGCATATCCAGGCCTATTATAGGCCTTCAAAAAATAATTAAAATAAATCCACGCCTATCCAGGCCTATTATAGACCTTGAAAAAATAATTTTAAAATAAATCCACGCCTATCCAGGCCTATTATAGGCCTTGAAAAAATAATTTTAAAATAAATCCAGGCCTATCTAGGCCTATTATAGGCCTTGAAAAAATAATTGTAAAATAAAACCAGGCCTATCCAGGCCTATTATAGGCCTTGAACAAATAATTTTAAAACAAATCCAGGCCTATCTAGGCCTATTATAGGCCTTGAAAAAATAATTGTAAAATAAAACCAGGCCTATCCAGGCCTATTATAGGCCTTGAACAAATAATTTTAAAACAAATCCACGCCTATTATAGACCTTCAAAAATATTTAAAATAAATCCACGCCTATCCAGGCCTAGTATAGACCTTCAAAAAATATTTAAAATAAATCCACGCCTATCCAGGCCTAGTATAGACCTTCAAAAAATATTTAAAATAAATCCACGCCTATCCAGGCCGAGTATAGACCTTCAAAAAATATTTAAAATAAATCCACACCTATCCAGGCTTATTATAGGCCTTGAAAAAATAATTTTAAAATAAATCCACGCCTATCCAGGCCTATTATAGGCCTTCAACAAATATTTAAAATAAATCCACGCCTATCCAGGCCTATTATAGGACTTGAAAAAATAATTTTAATATAAATCCACGCCTATCCAGGCCTATTATAGACCTTCAAAAAATATTTAAAAATAAATCCACGCCTATCCAGGCCTACTATAGACCTTCAAAAAATATTTAAAATAAATCCACGCCTATCCAGGCCTATTATAGACCTTCAAAAAATATTTAAAATAAATCCACGCCTATCCAGGCCTATTATAGACCTTCAAAAAATATTTAAAATAAATCCACGCCTATCCAGGCCTATTATAGACCTTTAAAAATATTTAAAATAAATCCACGCCTATCCACGCCTATTATAGGCCTTCAAAAAATATTTAAAATAAATCCACGCCTATTATAGGCCTTCAAAAAATATTTAAAATAAATCCACGCCTATAAGAGGCCTTAAAAAATATTTAAAATAAATCCCCGCCCATTATAGGCCTTCAAAAACATTTTAAATAAATTCCCTCCTATTTCTGGACTCTGAAAAATATGTTTTAAAGCTCTGCATCCGTTGCAGTCATTGAAAATGATTTTCAAAAATTTCACCCCCGTCTTCATGTACCTTGAAATGTGAGTGAATACCCCTATTATTGATCACACCATCAATTAAGCTCAATATTTAACCACTACGTAGCATGATGAAGCGTTTTAATTGATAACAGGCTTTTAGAATCTGATATGTATATGAGTGCCAGTACATACTAACAGGTGGGGCCCCTCTGCTAGAAAAAAAAAACTACTTGACACTGGTTTTTAATGGTCATAATTCCATGGAATAAAGAGCGACAGCATAATTTCGTTGCTATATGGTGGTAATTTCTTATCAATAGATGGAGTGACAGGAGAAATGCTGGTATCTGGCTGGTATATTGGGTTCGATTTTGAAAACGATTAATGTTTTGGAATTTCCATTGTGGGGTCAATGCACATTGCACATTAGGGTGGTTCTCAGCCTTTGTAAAAACTATTCTTGATGGGCCTTCACAAAAAAATATTCTTTAAAAATCCACGCCTATTTTAGGCCTTCACAAAAAATATTCTTTAAAAATCCATGCCTAGGAACAATATAGGCCTGGAAAATATTATTTAACCAGTGAGCGGAGTAGTATAGTTGGACGGGGTCGACCCTAAGATACCCTTCACCACTACCACGGAACTGCAACTTTCTGCGGATTTCTATTTCGAGCCTGGGTAATATTTCATTATAGGTGCACCCTGTTGACCGACTAGAGGTCAATATTCTGTACAACCCTTCTAATTACTTGTTCAGATTCCCTTCACCGTGTCTTATGTTGTGATGTTCGACTTTCAATTGTGGCCTATAGATCGACTAGTAAAACACAAAAAAAAATAAGTTTTTGGTCCACTTCATCCCAATATTATTATCTTATCATCATCGAAAATTATAGGCGTTGTCCTTGACCATACCTGGATCCTCATGGAAAATTTCAAAGCGATCAGGGCCCTCTAGTATGGTTATGGGTTACTAAATAATATATGAATACGTAAGCACCTGTAAATATTTCCGTGTAACTCCCATATCCAAGTACATACGACAATATAATTGGTATCAATTTAAAGGTCAACCACTCCTCCTGGATATACTATCGGGTCTATGACCTTTAGGAGTAAATATATACGCTGTAGGATAACAATTTTGTAATTTTTCACATAAAAGTCAGGGTCCATTTGGTCCGCTAAATATTGACCAATCCTTATCGAAACAGTCAAATCCTTTATTCCTTGGCCGATCCCCTTCTCCATGTAAAATTTCGCGATGTTTGGGCTAAAATTGCGGCCTCTAGAGCGACCTATATATTAACCGATCTTTACCAGAAACAATAGGAGTCTTCATTGGGCAGAATCCATCCCACATGCAAAATTTCGTTCATTCATAAATGTGGCCTGTATCGTGCTTACAAATTATAATGTACAGGCGGAAAGACGGACGGAAGGACACACATGCCTAGATCAACTCAGCTAGTCGAGATATGACGATCGCTATACTTATCGGTGGGTCTAGGACCAATATTTCGCGGCGTTACAAACTCTTGAGGCTACACAAAGCTATAATACCCTGACAACAAAGTTGTGTAGGGTATAAAAATCCACACCTTGCTGGGCCTTGGAAAAAAATGTTCTTTAAAAATCCACGCCTTGCTGGACCTTGGAAAGAATTTCCACGCCTCATATAGACCTTGGAAAATATTCTTAAAAAAATCCACGCCTCACATAGACCTTGGAAAAATATTCTTTAAAAAATCCACGCCTTGCTGCACCTTGAAAAAAATAATCTTAAAAAATCCACGGACCTTGGAAAAAATAATGTTTAAAAATCCACGTCTTGTTGGACCTTGGAAAAATATTCTTTAAAAATCCACGTTTTTTTTGGCATTGGAAAAATATTCTTTAAAAAATCCACGCCTTGTTTAGGCCTTGGAAAAAAAAAAATTTAAAAATCCACGCCTTGCTGCACCTTGAAAAAAATAATCTTAAAAAATCCACGGACCTTGGAAAAAATAATCTTTAAAAATCCACGTCTTGTTGGACCTTGGAAAAATATTCTTTAAAAATCCACGTTTTTTTTGGCATTGGAAAAATATTCTTTAAAATTCGATTTTTCCCACACTACTGCGCTTTCACAAATTTTGCTATTATACATTTTCTACCTGGACTACCACCTCGGTGGTGGTTGATGACAATTTTCCATAAGATAAAAAAATCTCACCAAGAAAAGAAATTGTTTCAAGGGGTTTCCATTGTTAAGTTTTAGCAGCTGTCTATTAATTTTTGGCAAAAATTAGTTTGCCAATTTTTTTCCTTATGTCAAAAGGAATTCTTAGAGGACATCTGTCGTTTTTTGTCGAGCAAAGAAATAAAATTGACTCAGGAAAAATATGTTTAGAAATGTAATTTATTTTATGGACGAAGGAAGGAAGTAGGAAAAGTGAGAAACAAATATTTTTCTTATTCCTCGTTTTATTTTATTTTTCTCCACAAAGAAAAAACTTCTTTAATGCCACATAATTCCCTACTTAATTTTCGCCCCCCAACCAATTAACTTCTGTTAATCTGATAAAGTCCAGCGAAATAATTAATTCATTTCATTAACGAAATAAAACAAACACCACAACAACAACAATCAATGAATATTAAATAGCAACAAACCATATAACAATTACAACTTCCAAGGTCACCAAAAAAAAAAAAAAAAAAACAAACACAAAAGAAAAAGGAATGAAAAAACGCCAAAGGACCAACCAACCGAATTGTAACCAAACCAGCCAACAAAAAAAACTTGTTTTCCCAAGTTCGAGTATCTCTTCGAAATGATATCCTTGATTGTGGCAGGCTAATTTTATTGTTTTCATTATAGCTGGTGTTGTTATTGTTGTTCTTGTTGTTGCTGTTGTTTTTATTTATCCTGTCTAATTATGT